CACACTGCAACTCACGTCAGTCACGTGCGCCGTGGGCGGCAGCGGTGGGCGCCAGTTCCTCGCGGGCCCACGGGAGCGCCAGGCCAGTTGCAGAGCGTGCGTTATCTTATTCTCCGAATATCGCGATTTGTGGGGCAAGTCCGCGGCGACGGGATTCAACACCCCAGCAACGTGCTCAACAAGAAGAAAAACCTCCCCCTGATTCACGGGCTCGAAACCGCTCCAACGTCGGTCAAGCGGGAGCTGGGCGGCATCTACATGAAACGGGTGCTGGAAGCCGACGATGCCAAACGCGTGGTGGCCATCCTGACCGACAGCGGCTCGCGAGCCTATGCCGAGGAAAAGGCCGGCGCGTTGCTGGCAGAAGCCTCTGATTTCATCATCGCAGACGGCGTGGAATTGGCCCAACCGGAAGCGTTGCGGTGGGCCGCGGAACTGGTGGCTGCCGGCAACGCCGCGGCGGCGGTCTAGCTCCGGCGGCGGCGCGATGCCCGGCACCTGGTGAGGCGATACGATGGCGAAACGTCAGCTCACTCAACTGGACGTTGCCGGCAAGACGGTCCTGGTGCGCGTCGATTTTAATGTTCCCATCGAGCAGGGCGTGGAGATAATCGCCCAGTACGATCAGCGGTTGCGGGCAACGCTGCCAACGATAGACTACCTGCTGGAACGCGATTGCAAGGTCGTGCTATGTTCGCATTTGGGCCGACCTCGGGGCAAGGTGGACGAGGCATTGCGGTTGTTCCCGGTGGGAGATCGCCTGAGTGTGTTGCTCGGTCGTCCGGTTACCAGTTTGTCGGATTGCATCGGGCCGGACGTTGCCAGTGAGGTAGCTGCGATGGAAAGCGGCCAGGTATACCTGCTGGAAAACCTGCGCTTCCACGAAGGCGAGGAAAATAACGACGACGCTTTCAGCACAGAACTGGCAGCGCTGGCCGATTGCTTCGTGATGGACGCGTTTGCGGTAGCGCATCGCGCCCACGCATCTACGGTTGGGCTCCCCAGAATGCTCCCGTCGGCGATGGGATTGCTGATGCAGCGCGAGGTCGAATCATTGGGGCTGGCGCTCACCTCGCCGGAGCGGCCGCTGGCAGCGCTGATGGGCGGCGCCAAGGTCAGCGACAAAATCTTGGTGCTGGAAAACCTGCTTGGAAACCTCGATCGCCTGTATATCGGTGGCGGCATGGCCGTTACCTTCCTGGCTGCCCTGGGCAAACCGGTGGGTGCATCGCCGGTGGAGGCAGACCGACTGGACTTTGCCCGCGAAGTCATTGACCGGGCCAACCGGGGTACCATCGAGTTGCACGTGCCAACGGATATCGTCGCCGCCAGCGAGTTTGAGCCGCACCCGGTGGAATCTCAGACCTTCCCGGTGGACGGGGTGCCCGACGGCTGGTACATAATGGACGTGGGCAATGCCACCGCCCAATCCTTCGCCCGGGGGCTGGCAGACTGCAAGACCATCATTTGGAACGGGCCGATGGGTGTGTTCGAGATGGAACGATTCAGCGCCGGCACCCGCACGGTGGCGAATGCCATCGCGGGGTTGCCCAACGTGACCACCGTAGTCGGCGGAGGTTCAACTGCCGAAGCGGTGGAAGCATTGGGCCTGGAAACCAGCATGACTCACGTGTCCACCGGCGGCGGCGCCTCTCTGGAGTTCCTGGAGGGTCGAGAGCTGCCGGGGATAGCGGCATTACCTGACGCATAACTGCACTGGGATGTAAACTCGCAGCCGCAACTCGGACGTTGCGACGACGGAGCGCAAATGATTGACCTCGAACAAATTCACGCCAGCATCGCGTCCACTCCATCCAAGATTGTCCTGTTGGTGGCGGACGGACTTGGTGGGTTGGCGCATCCGGATACCCGCCGGTCGGAACTGGAAACCGCCGACATTCCCAATCTGGATGCGTTGGCGCGGGAGAGCGCCTGCGGCTTGACCACCCCGGTCGAGATCGGCGTGGCGCCCGGTAGTGGCCCGGGTCATCTGGCCCTGTTTGGCTACGACCCGTTGAAATACCTTATCGGGCGCGGCGCGCTGGAGGCTTTGGGCATTGGTGTTGAATTGCTGCCCGGCGATGTGGCGGCACGCGGAAACTTCTGCGCCGTAAATGACGAGGGTCTGCTGACCGACCGGCGCGCTGGTCGCATCCCTACTGCACAGAGCGCCCCGCTGTGCGAGCGACTGGATCGCATCGAGATACCCGGAGTGCAGGTGGACGTATTTCCGGTGCAGGATTACCGGTTTGTGTTGCGGTTACGGGGCGAGGGTCTGTCGGATCAGGTGGATGAAACCGACCCGCAGCGCGAGGGAATGGCACCTAAAATCGCCCGCGCTCTGAACCCCGAAGCACAACGCACCGCCGAAATCGTGCAGCAGTTTGTGTCAGAAGCCGGCCACATGCTGGCGGAGGATCAACCCGCCAACATGGTTTTGCTCCGGGGCTGGGCGCAGTTGCCGAACTTGCCCGATTTCGGCGCCGTGTATCACCTGAACCCGGCTGCCATCGCCGCCTACCCAATGTATCGCGGCCTGGCGTCGGTAGCCAATATGCGTATTATCCCTACAGGTATGTCATTTGGCGACGAAGTGCAGACGCTGCGCGCCAATTGGAACGATCACGATTTCTTCTTCATCCACTACAAACCGGCCGATACCGCCGGCGAAGATGGCGATTTCGAGGGCAAGGTACGACGGCTCGAAGAACTGGACGCCCATATCCCGCACATCATGAATTTGAAGCCGGACGTGCTGATGGTCGCCGGTGACCACGCCACGCCCGCGATTATGGCGTCGCACAGCTGGCATCCCGTGCCGTTTTTGCTGCACTCTCAACTTACGTTGGGGGAGGGCGTGGACGGTTTCAGCGAACGGGATTGCGCGCAGGGTTCGTTGGGTCGAATCCCCGCGCAAGCGATCATGCTGCTGGCCCTGTCTCATGCCGGCAAGCTGGCCAAATACGGCCCCTAGCGCCTGCGGGCCGGTGGTATGACTCGGCTCGTGAATCTAACGGTGCATGAACTCTCTGGCGAGGTGAAGCCCTGGCAATGACTGTCCCAACCCCAATTGTAGCCGGCAACTGGAAGATGAACACCGACATTGCCGGCGGCACAGCCCTGGCTGCGGCTATCGCGGCCGGCGTCGGCGCAATAGTTGGCGTCGACCTGGTGGTCTGCCCACCGTTCGTGTCGCTGGCCGCGGTGCGTGATGCCGTGGCCGGCAGCGGTGTCAGCGTGGGCGCCCAGAATATGCACGCTGACGGGAATGGCGCGTTCACCGGCGAGATTGCGCCGCCAATGCTGGTGGGACTCTGCGAGTACGTAATCATCGGACATTCGGAGCGTCGGCAATTCTTCGGAGAAACGGACGATTCGGTGGGTCGGAAGGTTGCCGCCGCGGTTGCGCACGAACTGCGACCAATCGTGTGCGTGGGCGAAACACTGTCGGAAAGGGAATCGGGCAACGCCGCCGAGGTAATCCGCTGGCAGGTAACGTCGGCGTTGGCCGAGCTGGACGCTGGAGATGCTGATGGTCTGGTCATAGCCTACGAACCGGTCTGGGCCATCGGCACCGGGCGGGCGGCAACGCCGGAAATCGCCGACCAGATAATGGGTGGCGCAATTCGCTCCACCATGGCTGCGGTGTTGGGACTCGATGTGGCTGCAGCGGTCCCGCTGCTCTACGGCGGCAGTGTTAACGCCGCCAACGCCGCCGAATTCGCCGCTGTGGAAAACGTCAACGGCGCGCTGGTCGGCGGGGCCAGCCTCGACGCTGGTTCGTTTCTGGCAGTGGCGGTTGCGTTCGCCGGTGCTTAGCCATCAGCGTTTCTGATTCCACGGTCCCGGATCGACCCCAACTTGTAGCCGTCGTGGGGCCGACCGCGGTGGGCAAAACGGCCCTGGCGATCCATCTGGCCCGGCAGTTTGGCGGTGAGGTCATCAACGCCGACAGCCGTCAGGTGTACGTCGGTATGGACATCGGGACGGCCAAACCCACCGCCGAGGAGCAGGCGGCAGCCCGCCACTATCTGATTGATATTTGTTCACCCGCAACGCCGTTCAGCCTGGGGGAGTTCATCCCCCTGGCGGTGAAGACAATCTCGGAAATCGCCGGCCGCGGACAGTTACCGATACTGTGCGGCGGAACCGGCCAGTACGTGTGGGCGCTGTTGGAAGGGTGGGATGTGCCCAGTGTGTTGCCCGATGCGGAGTTTCGGAAGGCAATGGAGCAGCGGGCCCGGGCTGAGGGTGTGCAAGCGTTGTGGCTAGAGCTTCAGGAGGTCGACCCAGTTCGAGCGGAGGAAATTGGTCCCAACAACCTGCGGCGTCTGATTCGCGCTCTGGAAATCCGCCGCAACTCGAACGGTGCGATGGCAACCAACGGCAAGGCAACTTCGCCGCCGTACAACGTCCTTATCATCGGTCTGGAGGCGGATCGTGCAGACCTGTACCGGCGCATTGATGACCGGGTGGACTGGATGATGGCAAACGGGCTGCTGGACGAGGCCCGGCGGCTGGCGGCGGAGGGATACACCCTCGGGGAAGGGCCCCTGTCGGGGGTCGGCTACGACCAGCTGGGACAGTATCTGTCGAACAACATGACGCTGGATGAAGCGGTGGCGCAGACCAAAACCCGCACCCATCGCCTGGTGCGCCGCCAGAATACCTGGTTCAAACGCGGCGACCAGCGCATCACGTGGCTGGACACGACTGGCCGCGACCCCGCCGAGCCGGCCGCGGCGGCGGTACGGGAATTCCTGGAGTCGTCGGGGGCGTGTGGTACAATTGGCCGAGATTCAGGATGACGGCAGGTAGACCCGGAGTGGCTGCGATGGAATTCACCAAAATGCATGGCGCCGGCAACGATTACGTTTACGTTGACGCCCGAGATATGCCCGAAAGGGATTGGGGAACCTTGTCGCAATCCATCTCCGACCGGCATTCTGGCGTCGGCAGCGACGGCCTGATTCTGGTGATGAATTCAGAAGTTGCCGATCTGCAGATGCGGATGTTCAACTCGGACGGTTCCGAGGGCGAGATGTGCGGCAATGGTATCCGTTGTTTCGCCAAGTACGCCATTGAGCGCGGCATTGTGGCGCCGTCGGTGGCGTCCGTTACAGTCGACACGCTGGCCGGCATCCGCACGGTGGTGCCGCATTTCCTCGGGTCGGCGGTGGATTCGGCGCGGGTCAGCATGGGCGCACCGAGATTGGCGCCGTCCGATATACCCGTTGACCTGGATCCCGCCATTGCCAGCCAGGGCGGGCCGATCGTGCATTACGCACTGCAACCGGGTGATTTTCGGTTGTACGTTACCCTGGTGTCCATGGGCAACCCCCACGCGGTTACCTTTATCGACCAGCCGGTTGGTGAGTTTCCGCTGCACAATATCGGCCCGTTGGTGGAACGCCATCCCATCTTTCCACGGCGCGCCAACTTCGAAATCGTCAATTTGCGGGAAGACGGCAACCTTGATGCCCGGGTGTGGGAACGTGGTTCCGGCGAAACCATGGCCTGCGGCACGGGCGCCTGCGCCATCGCGGTGGCATCGCGGCTGCTGGGTCACACTGGCGATCGGGTTGCGGTAAACCTGCCTGGGGGCACACTGACCATAGATTGGGACGGCGTCGGCGAGGTCTATCTGGAAGGGCCGGCCAAAGAAGTATTCAGCGGAGTGTGGACAGAATGAGCAACTACGTAACCGGGCCGCATACCTTTGAACAAATCCGGTGGGCCGGCGAGACCTATCACCGCGAGTCCGTCGCTATGGTCAACCTGGAAGCTGACGATCCACAGTTCACGGCGGCCATTCGGGATGCGACCCCGTATCTGGCGTCCCTCGTCGCGTCGGCGCTGGAGTTCGACGACCTGCGCTGCGCCACCCTGGACATCATCGAATCGGCGTTCAATAGCGTCGCTGCCCACGGGTTCAACCCGGACACGGTGTCCAGGGTCCTGGTGGCGCTCAACCCACAGTTGTTCGTAGTCTGGGACATGGCCATCAGGGAAGCATACTTCCCCGACGACGAGCCCAACGGCGCTACCTACGGGCAGTTTCTTTCCGTGATGCGGATGGCGGCGTTGTCTATCGCCAGCGACGCCAGGACGACCCACGGCATTGACGATGCGGCGGGGCATATATCTGAAGCGCTCGATTTGAACCCGGCGATCCCCCTCGCCAGGTTTATCGACGAATACAACTGGCTGACGTTGACGCGTGCGGCGACCGCGCAGCCGTCTCCGGCGTCCGTATAGATCAAGCCTGTTTAGGAGCAAGATGGTTAACTTTTCCCAGCGCCTGGGCAAACTGTCCCCTTACCCGTTCGTTGAGATCTCGCGCATCATCGCGGAAAAACGCGCGGCCGGCGCGGACGTTGTTACGTTCGGCATCGGCGACCCAGACATACCGACGCCCCAGTACATCGTTGACCGGCTGCTGACGGCCTCGCAAGACCCGCCGAACCACCGCTATCCCGAGACCGACGGGCTGCCGGAAATGCGCCGCGCCATCGCGTACTGGTACAAGCAGCGGTTTGACGTTGACCTTGATCCCCGATACCGAAGTTCTGCCCCTGATCGGCGCCAAGGAAGGCATCGGCCACGCCGCATTTTGCTTCCTGGATCCGGGGGATATTGCGCTGGTGCCTGACCCGGCGTATCCGGTGTACGCGGTGGGCACGATGTTCGCCGGCGCCGAGTCCCACGTTATGCCGCTTTATCAACGCAACGGCTGGCTGCCTGAATACGACGCCATCCCCGATGACGTGGCGCGAGCCGCCAAGCTGATGTGGCTGAACTATCCCAACAACCCAACCAGCGCGGTGGCGTCCCAGGAAGACCTGGAATCGGCGATGCGGTACTGTCGGGATCACGACATTGCGCTTTTGCACGACGCTGCCTACTCCGAGGTTGGGTATGACGGCTACCGGGCCGGCAGCCTGCTGCAACTGGACGGTGCGAAGGACATTGGCCTGGAGTTTCACTCACTGTCCAAGTCCTACAACATGACCGGTTGGAGGATGGGCATGGCCGTCGGCAACGCTGACATGATAAAGGCGCTGTTCCAGATCAAGGCGAACCTGGACTCCGGCGTGCCGCAGGCGATTCAGGAAATGTCCATGGAGGCGCTCACCGGCCCCCAGGACTGCATTGACGACAACGTGGCCATCTACAAATGGCGTCGGGATCGGATGATCCAGGCACTGGCCAAGATGGGTCTGGAAGTCGAGGTGCCGCGGGCCAGCCTGTACGTTTGGGCGCCGGTGCCGGCCGGATTCACCTCCGCCGAGTTCGCCGCGCGGTTGCTGGAAGATATTGATATTGTGGTTACCCCCGGCTCGTCTTACGGGCAGTACGGCGAGGGCTACATCCGGTTGTCATTGACCACGCCCAACGAACGGGTGGAAACCGGCTGCCAACGTCTGGAAAACTGGATTATCCCGTCTCCCAGCGCCTGATATTAGAGCCGTACTTCGAATGCCCAAAAACCGCAAGACTCAACCTACCGGCCCGCAGATCGAGCGGGCGGTGCTGGTTGCGGCTGAAGCCCGCAATCGGGGCGAGCAATTGTGGTCCATTGAGGATTCGTTGATCGAGCTGGACTACCTGACCCGTTCGGCCGGCGCCGAAGTGATTGCCACCATCCAGCAGCGGGCCGACCGGCTCACTCCAACCTACATCGGCAAGGGCAAGCTGCAGGAATTGCAGGAGTTGCTGGAAGCAGAACGCCCCGACGTGGTTATCTGCGACGATGAGTTGACGCCAACCCAGCAGCGCAACCTGGAAACGGCCCTCAAGATCAAGGTTATTGATCGCACCGCGTTGATTCTGGATGTGTTCGGACGCCACGCGCACACGCGGGAAGGGCAGTTGCAAGTGGAGTTGGCACAGCATCAGTACCTTTTGCCTCGGCTGGTGGGGCAATGGTCTCACCTGGAACGGCTGGGCGGCGGCATCGGAACCCGGGGCCCCGGCGAAACTCAGCTGGAAACCGACCGCAGACTGGTGCGCCAGCGCATCCAGAAAATTCGGGACGAGCTGGACAAAGTGCGCCAACGTCGCAGCCAGTACATGGAACGGCGTCGCCGGACGGACGTCCGAATGGCGACGCTGGTGGGGTATACCAACGCGGGCAAAAGCACGCTGTTCAACGCGCTGTGCGACGCCGGCGTGCCGGCCGAAGACCAGCTTTTCAACACCCTGGATCCGGTAACGCGCCGGCTGAATATGCCCGATGGCGGCGAGCTGCTGCTCAGCGACACGGTTGGCTTCATCCAAAAGCTGTCGCCAATGGTGGTGGCAGCGTTCCGCGCCACGCTGGAGGAACTGCACGAGGCCGACCTGCTGCTCCATGTCGTTGACATAACGCACCCCAAGGCTCCCGAGCAGGCCGAAGTAGTGGAGAATACGCTCACCGATCTGGAGCTGGGCGGCAAACCGAGACTGCTGGTCATCAACAAGATGGACCTGCTCACCGATAACCCCGGCGACATTGCAGCAGAAGCCCTGGTCGGGTTGCCCGATCTCACGGCGGCAGAATCGCCGGCAGTTGGCGGCCGGGTATTCGTTTCTGCTGTGAAGGGCTGGAATCTGCCGACGTTGCTGGAGGTAATCCAGGAGCATATCGGCAAATCAATGCCCGCTGGCGACCGGGCCGTCGTCTAGGGCCCGCCGTTGAATCGTAGGCGGAAAATCCGGCTGATCCACACGTCGGACACTCACCTGGGCGACGGTTGGGATCCTGGAGTCGCCGAGCGCGCCCTGTCGGCAGTCGTAGATGGTGTGCGCGCCCTCTCCGCTGACGCCCTGCTGATAGCCGGAGACGTGTTTGACAACGCCCGCATATCGGACGACCTGCTGGATTTCTTTGTCGGTGAGATGGGTCGTGCGGAGGTGCCGGCGATAATCTTGCCGGGCAATCATGACCTGTACGACGCCGGATCGTTGTACCGGCGGGCGCCCTTTGACAACGTGCCGTCCAATCTGCACATCATCCGAGGGACGAGGGGCGAAACCATCACCTTTGAGTCGCTGACGCTGGATGTTTGGGGCCGGGCGATGGATAACCACACGCCGGCGTTCCGACCGCTGGCCGGGATGCAGTCCGCTACGGGCGGCCGCTGGCTGGTGGCGATTGCCCACGGGCATTTCCACTTTCCCGACGATACCGAGGAACGATCGTCGCCCATCTACGGGCGGCAGGTCGCCGAAGCGCCCTGCGACTATCTGGCCCTGGGACACTGGGAGCGGTTTGAGGACGTGAGCCAGGGTGATGTAACTGCCTTTTATTCCGGCTCGCCGATGGGTGCGGCCACTGAACGCGGGCAAGTTGCGGTCAACGTGGTGGATTTCGACCCGGAATCTGAAACTTCAGTAACCGTAACGCAGGCGTGTCTGCCCATGTCGCGATGAGTGCGCCGGTGCCTGGAACCCAGGCTAATCACCTAAACTGAGGTGTGATATGAAAACCCTGAGCCGCGATTTGCGAATCTACGTGCTGGACCCGTCCAACGAACCAGCCGTCACGATTGACTCTGGCGATGACCTGATGGTGGAAACCTGGGACGCATTCGAAGGAATACGCGACCCTCAGGTGCTGGAAGAGAAATCACTGAAAGGCCCGGCAACCGGCCCCATCTACGTCAACGGCGCAGAGCCGGGCGATGCCCTCCGTATTGAATTCGTCAGCATCAATCCCAAAGAGAACCCCGCCCACATGATTATGCCGGGGCGAGGCTTCCTGGAGGCGGAGTTCACCGAAGCCTATCCCACCGTGATGAGCATCGACAACGGCCACCTGGTACTGCCGAGTGGTGTTCGCCTGCCCCTGCGCCCGTCGATGGGACTGGTGGCCACTACACCCACCTACATCCAGCAAACGGCCAGCGACAGCGGCCCCTACGGCGGCGACATCGACATGAAGGAACTGGTGGCGGGTAGCGTTTTGTATCTGCCCGTGTTTGTGCCCGGCGGTCTGCTCGCGTTGGGCGATTGCCATGCGGTCGTGGGAGACGGCGCGGTGGCCGGCACCGGCGCCGAGTGTTCCGCAGACACCCACATCCGCGTCACCGTCGAAAGGGGGATGAACCTGTCCGGCCCGCGAGCCATCACGCCGGAACACTACGTCGTCCTGTCTCACGGTGACGACCTCGGCCCGGCCATGAAGCAGGCGGTGCGCGAGATGGTCGAATTCCTGGTCGCCGACAAGGGTCTGGAACCCTACGACGCCTACACCCTGTGCAGCCTTGCTGGCGACGTTAGGGTCTCCCGTACTTTCCGACCCATCAGCCCGGTGAAAATGATGCTGTCCCGCCAGGCGTTGGATCAGTTGTAGGTCAGGTAACCGAATACCCACCGTCCACGGTTATCACCGCCCCCGTTACATAATCTGATGCCCGGCTCGCGAGAAACACCGTCGCCCCCTGCAACTCGCTAGCCTGACCCCACCGCCCCATCGGGATGCGCCGGTTGATGAGGTCGTAACGTTCGGGTTGGGTTTCGGGTATGGCCTGGGTCAAATCGGTCATGAACCAGCCGGGCAGGATCACGTTGGACTGGATGTTCTCCGGCGCCCAGGCTACGGCAAAGCTTTTGGCCAACTGCACCACGCCGCCCTTGCTGGACGCGTAGGGCACGCCGCTGCCGCCGCCGCCAAAGATGCTGAACATACTGCCGATGCTGATGATTTTACCACCGCCCTGGGACTTGAAGTGGGGGTAAACGGCTCGGCTGGCCAGAAAGGCGGAGCGCAGGTTCACATCCAGCACATTGTCCCATTCGGCGGCGGTGGTCTCCTCCGGGGGCTTGCGGACAGTGGTGCCGGCGTTGTTGATCAGGATGTCGATGTGCCCGAAGTGAGCGGCGGCACGGGCCACCATATCGTCGATATCAGAGTCGCTGGTAACGTCCGCGTGGATGGCGTGGGCACGGCGGCCGGTCGCTTCGATGGTGGGTGACGGCGGCGGCGTTTTTTTCCTCATTGCGGGCGGCGATGGCGATGTCGCACCCTGCTTCGGCCAGCCCCAGAGCCATGCCCAGTCCCAGCCCGCCGTTGCCTCCGGTTATCAGGGCCACGCGGCCCGTCAGGTCGAACAACCCGCCGTTGTTGCTGGTCATGCCATCGTCTCCCGCGTCAAAGGTCTCCCGCGTCAAAACTGACAATTACTGTACCACAGGCAACCCAGCCGGGCTGCTCCCGGTGCCTGCTGACCTGATAGCCCGCGACAGCAAAAAGGAGGGGCGACGCACGCGCCGCCCCAGGGTGGGTAGGTTGTTTGTGTGGACACTGACCGTGTCCGTACGTTGGTCTGGTTACAGTTTGATCAAAGAGGGCACTGCCACGAACGCCGGGGCGAAGACCAGCGACACAATGGCCATCAGCTTGAGCAGGATGTTCAGGCTGGGGCCGGAGGTGTCCTTGAACGGGTCGCCGACCACGTCGCCCTCCACGGCCGCCTTGTGAGCGTCTGAGCCCTTGCCGCCAAAGTTGCCCAGTTCTACGTACTTTTTGGCGTTGTCCCAGGAACCGCCCGCGGAGGCCATCATGATGGCCAGCATGAATCCGGCAGACACCGAACCGATGAGCAGCCCACCCAACGCAGCCTCCCCCAGAATGAATCCGGTGGCGATGGGCGCTATGACCGCCATCAAACCCGGAACGATCATTTCGCGCAATGCGCTGCGGGTGCTGATGTCCACGCACCGTGCGGAGTCCGGCTTGGCGGTGCCTTCCATCAAGCCGGGGATTTCGCGGAACTGCCGGCGCACCTCGTCAACGATGCCCTGGGCGGCACGACCAACTGCCTGCATAGTGAGCGCCGAGAAGATGAACGGCAGCATCGCACCGATGATCAGTCCGACCAGAATTTGCGGCTGCAGGAGGTTGATGCCCGTGCCGCCCTCAGACAACCGTCCGTCGGGCCCCAGGGTGATCAATCCGGCGCTGACTGAAAAAGCGGCGAGCAGCGCCAGCGCAGTCAGGGCGGCGGAGCCAATCGCAAATCCCTTGCCGGTGGCCGCGGTGGTGTTGCCCAAAGCGTCCAGGGCATCGGTGCGCTCGCGTACCTGCGGGTCCAGGTTGGCTTGTTCGGCGATGCCGCCGGCGTTGTCGGCGACCGGACCGTAAGCATCGGTGGCCAAGGTAATGCCCAGCGTGGACAGCAGGCCCACGCCCGCCAGAGCAATGCCGTAGAAACCGGCGAACCAGTAAGCCAGCAGGATGGCGACCGACACGCAGAACACGGGAATCAGGGTGCTGAGCATTCCGCTCGCAATCCCCTGAATTATCACGGTCGCCGCGCCAGTTTCCGAGGCTGCGGAAACTCTCCTGGTGGGGGAGTAGCTGTACGATGTGTAGTATTCTGTGGCCAGTCCGATGATTGTACCGGCGACCAAACCGGACACCACGCACCCAAACCAGTACCAGTTGTGGGTCAGTGTGATGGTGAGGATGGCGGCGAAGATGATGAGCAGTGCGCCGGCGGCGAATATGCCGTAGCGCAACGCCCACAAAAGCCGCTCGAAGTTGGCCTGTTCTCCGCTGCGCACGACGAAAGTGCCCAGGATGGCGGCGATTATGCCGGCTCCGGCCAGCAGCATCGGAAATACCGCCTGGGAATGGAATGCGCCGGCGCCAGCCGCCAATGCCACGGCGCTGGCTGCCAGCGCCACCGCGGAAATGATGCTGCCCACGTATGACTCGAACAGGTCGGCTCCCATGCCGGCAACGTCGCCTACGTTATCGCCTACGTTATCGGCGATGACGCCCGGGTTGCGGGGATCGTCCTCGGGAATCCCAGCCTCTACCTTGCCAACCAGGTCGGAACCAACGTCGGCGGCTTTGGTGAAAATGCCGCCGCCCACGCGCGCAAACAGGGCGATGGAGCTGGCTCCAAATCCGAAACCGGCCACCGCGCTGATGTCCTGGAAGATTACATAAAGGATGGTAACGCCCAGCAGGCCGATGCCCACTACAGTTACACCCATGACGGTGCCGCTGGAAAAGGCGATACGCAGAGCGGGGTTGAGTCCTATCATGGCGGCCGCCGCAGTGCGGATATTCGCCCTGACTGCCACGTTCATGCCGATGAATCCGGCCAAGCCGGAGCAAATCGCGCCGACCAGGTAAGATATGGCGGTTGCCGGTATACCCAGGTTGTGTTTAAAGACGGTGTAGTCCATCACGCCCAGCACGATGGCAACGACAACCACGAAAGGCACCAGCGACAGGTATTCGCGGCGCAGAAATGCCGACGCTCCGGTGCGGATGGCGTCGCCAATTTCGATCATGGTCTCATTGCCGCGGTCGGCGCCGATGACCCGATACGCGATGATGGCCGCAAATACCAGGGCGATGACCCCGGCGGCCAGGGCCACAATGATTGATTCCATACTCTCCTCTCCGTTTTCAGCTAATTAGACCGACAAACGTTACGAAACTAGCAGAACGATGGGCAGGTGTCAATGAGAGTCCAATCTCACGCGTACCCACTATAATCTGTCATTGCGAGCGTAGCGTGGCAATCTCGTCGCTGAAATCGCCGTTGTTGCCTCAAAGAGATTGCCACGTCGCTGCGCTCCTCGCAATGACAGTTGGCCGGTTGGTTTGACAAGGTGGGCACGTGTGAGCGGGCCGGATATTGTCGCCTCGGTCTGACAGTGGCTGCGGTAGCTATGCGTAGTCAGACAAGTTGATGATACTGGGGTCAATCTTTCCGTCCTGAATTTGCAGGAGCGCTACGGTTCCGGGCGACCCGGGGACATGGCGGCGGCCCGGATAGTTCGGGCTGCCCGGATTGATGAACAGCACGCCGTCGCGCCATTCAATCAGTTCTTCGTGGGTATCACCAAACGCCACCACATCCACACTCCCGCCGAATTTGCGGTGCAAGAGGTCAGGCAGCCCAGAGGCTGGGTATTGCAAGCCGGCGCCGTCGGGCGTGGTCATGATGGCGGGGGTGGGCCACTGGATGTCATGCACCATGCCGATGCGCACCCCGGCAACTTCAACGATGCGAGAAACGTCGGCGAGGCGATCGCCAGGTTCACGGGGGTCTTCGTAGCCACGCACCGCCAGCACCGGCGCCACCTGCTCCAGACAGTCCAGCACGCCGATACATTCCAGGTCACCGCAATGCAACAACAGGTCGCAGCCCTCCAGGGCGTGCAGTACGTTGGCCGGCAAGTCCCAACCGCTGCCGGCAGAGTGGGTATCAGATACGAGGCCGATCTTTACCATGACACGTTAGTATCCCCGAACGCGTTGCATTTCGGCACAAATTATCAGGTCTAGGGCGCCAGCGCTTCTAAAGTACCGAGCATAGTTTCGCGATCTGTGCCGTGGGGGAAGGCGACGATGGGCATATCGACGCCGTTGGCCCTGAATCTGTCCATTTTCCGTCGGCAATCTCCGGGCGAACCAATGACGGTGATGCTGTCGATCATTTCATCGGTAATGGCGGCGGCGGCTTTGCTCCGGTCGCCTTCTGCCCAGGCAGCCCGCACCGTATCGCCCTCGGACCGGTAGCCGTACCGACAGAACAGGTCATAGTAATACTGGCCCATACCGCCAACGTAAAACGCCATGTGAGCCCGGGCCTGGGCGGTGGCATCCGCCAGCGCGTCGCCGTCGTCGGTGGCACAGCACAGGATTTGAGGCGCGGTGGTGATGTCGGCGATGGAACGTCCGGCAGCTTCGGCGGCGTCGACCAGCGGCTGTTTGATTTGGGGGAGCTGCTCGCAGTGCATCCAGATGGGCAACCAGCCATCGGCCAGCTCGCCGGTGAGCTGTAGGTTGCGGCTTCCCAGCGACGCGACGTAGATGGGTATGCGTTTCTGAACCGGCGATACTCCCATGCGGAAGCGTTTCAGTTCATAAAACTTGCCTTCGTAGTTGACGCGGCCTCCGGAGAGGGCCATCCGCACTATGTCGATGTACTCCCGGGTGCGAGTAACCGGATGGTCGAATTTAACGCCGTGCCAGTCTTCGATGACGATACGCCCGCTGGTGCCCAAGCCCAGGATGGCCCGCCCGCCGCTGATGCAGTCCAGCGACGCGATGCTCTGCGCGATCAGTCCCGGCGTACGGCTGTACACCGTGACAATGCCCGTGCCCAATCCGATGCGCTCGGTGTGGCACGCCAGCATGGTCAGTACGGTGAGCGCATCCCGCCCCCATGATTCGCCGGTCCAGAAAGAATGGTAGCCCAACCGGTCGGCGGCCTGGGCTATTGCGATCAGGTCGGTGTCGTCGTTGTTGTCGCGGCTGCTGAAGGTGAGGGCGATGGCGTCCATATAAGCTGTTATCCCGGGAAGGCTGGATTGCGGTAAAACTGAGGTGGAGGTGTTGTTGTCGCGATGACGTGGTGACGAGTTAGTTGCGATTTTGCCAGATGATGTACGGGTCCAGCGCGTCGCCGGTGAGGGATTCGCCGAGGGCTTCGCTGGTAATAGGGTAGGTTTGCGACTCCTGTATAACCAGTTCGCGCATTTTTTCGCCCCACTTGTTCACGTCAGCGGGTTCGGCGCGGCCCGAAAGCATATCGGTGAAACCCTCAACCAGCTGGTCGACCGGAGCGGCCAGAACGGGGCCGGAAATGACGTACACCACGACCTCAGGCAGGTTATCTTCGTCGTGGAAGTCAACCCCCAGGCGTTCCAGGATAGAGTTCATCGCTACGGCCCGTACGATTTCGTCCGCCTGGGTCGGCATGTTCATCATGTGTGCGAATGGGTGGTCCTGCCCTTCCCGCAGGGAGATGGAAAATTCGTTTTCCACGGCCCGGTAATATTCGTCGTTGAACACGTCATCGGCGGATACCAGAGCGATGGTCGCCGGGGAGACGCGTAAGTCTACGGCGATGAATTCCTGCAGATGGGGAAATATTGCCAGGGTGATGTCGGGCCGACGGCCGTTGGGCAACGGGCCGCCGTTCAGTTCCTCGAACAAAGCTGCGCTCCTTGTGATTGGCAACGTCCGGCCGGATCGCCGGCGGTTTAGCCAGAAAGGGTAATCGAAGTTAGCGAGGACGTGGGCGGGTTACGCGTTGACCAAACGTTTCACAGCGTCGGGTACGCCGGAAAGGTCATCTACCGTTTCATCGGCCTGCGAGTTCGGGTCATCCGGGTCTTCCGGTTCATAGAAACCTTGAATCCAGACCGACTTCATACCGATCCGGTTGGCGCCGACCACGTCGTTGGTAACGTGGTCTCCGATGTGGATCGTGGTCGCAGGCGTGGCCCCCAGTGATTCAATGGTCATCAGGAATATCTCGTCAGAGGGTTTCGCCAGCAATACTTCGTCGGAGAAGGTCAGCGTGTTGAAGTATTCCACGACGTCCCGTTCCGCCGCAGAAATTCCCGGAACGTGTAGCCCGGAGTCATGCCGGTGTTGGAGATGAGGCCAATATTCAAACCCAGCTGATGCACCGATTCCAGGGTTTGATGCGTGGCGTCGTGAAAGATGGGCGGGAATTCGAAAAATGATTCGGCGTACACCCTTTCAATCTCGGCGATGGTTTCTTCTGACAGGCGGTCAACCAGACCCTCGCTGACGAGGTTGATGAAGATTTCCACCTGATTGCGAAAGCTGACGTCCTTGTTGGTGTCGCGGACGGCACGGCAAGCGCGGTAACAGGCGCGGTAAGCCTCTCGGATGTGGTCGGGGTCAAACTCCTCGCCGTGGCCGCGTAAAAGGTCGTGAGCGCCGTCCAGTCGTACCTGCGCCCGTTTCTGTCCCAGCTCCCGGTGTCCAGGATTAGGGTTTGCCACAAATCGAAAGTTACTGCCGTGATGGTGGACACGATGCAATCCCTGCCAGGCGAGAAGAAGAGGTGAGTCGGGTGGAGGTTGGGTTCGCAGTAGGGTTACAGGGGTGGCCGTTGATTGTGCCAGTCGGTGGCCTGCTGGTAGGCGTAGGCAGCCCGTAGCACGGTTGATTCGTCGAAGTTGCGACCCGCCAGGTGCAATCCTGCCGGCAGGCCATCATCCGCGAACCCGCACGGCACTGAGATGGCCGGGGAGCCGGTGATGTTGTAAACCCGGGTGTAACGGGTCAGCAGCGGCACGGCCGGCACCGATTCGCCGTCGATGTCGATGCGGCGTTCCAGAATTACCGGCGCCGTTACCGGTTCCACCGGGCCAGCCAGAAGGTCGACGTTTTTCAGCAGGTCGGCAACCTGCCGGCAAAAAACCTGCCGGGATTGTTGGGCGCGCAGATATTCGCCGGCTGAGATGAACAGGCCTTCTTCCAGGCGGTCTCGCACCTGCGGGTAGAGCTTGTCGCCATCGCTGAGCAGAATGTCGCGATGCGCGGCGGTGGCCTCGGCGCTGAGGATGACGTTGCTGATGGCCTGGGCGTACTGGAACATCGGGAGGGACACTTCGACAATCTCGGCGCCCAGCTCACCGAGCACGCCGATAGCCCGGCGCGAGGTTGGCAACCTGAGAGTCGATGGGCCCGTCGAAATACTCTTTCACCACACCGATGCGCAGGCCCCGCACGTCGCCGGTAAGCGCGGCTGTGTAGTCGGGCACTGGCACATTGGCGGTAACGTGGTCGCGGGGATCTGGCCCGGCGATGGCGTTCATTGTCAGGGCGGCGTCCTCTACGGTGCGAACCATAGGGCCGGGATGGTCAAGGCACCAGGACAGCGGCGTAAGCCCGGCGCGGCTAACCCTGCCGTAGGTGGGTTTCAGTCCCACGATTCCGCACAGGGCGGCGGGAATGCGAACGCTGCCGCCGGTGTCGCTACCCATCGTGATGGTGCATTGGCCGGCGGCGGTTGCCGAACCGCTGCCGCCGCTGGAACCGCCGTTAATGCGCTCCGGGTTCCAGGGTTGTGCATATGGCCGTAGTCAGCGTTTTCTCCCGTGGGGCCGAAGGCGAGTGGGTGCATATTGAGCTTGCCCAGCAGTATCGCGCCAGCCTCGCTGAACCTGGTGGCGACGGTGCAATCCTGCGTTGGCACGTGGGTGTCGTAGATACGGGGGCCCGAGGTCGTGCGGACGCCGGCAGTGTGGAACAAGTCTTTGAGGCCGACTGGAATGCCGTGCAATGGGCCCCGGTAGTTGCCGCGCCCTATGTCCTGCTCGGCGCGCCGGGCGGCGGCGCGGGCCTGTTCCGGAATCAGCGTTATGAAGGAATTTAGCGTCGGCTCGGTGGCTTCAATGCGGTCCAGACAGGCGTCAACCACGTCCACCGGAGAGATTTCGCGGTCGCGAATCAGGCCGGACAATTCCCATGCCGACATATAATGCAATTCAATTCGAGCAGCACGGGCGTGTTTCCTACAGCGTAGCGATCGAAGGCTAAAAGCTGGCCGCCTGATAAGGGCTAAGGGTTGGGGCGTTGCGAGCGCTGGACTTACAACGGTAAGGGCTTACTCCGAGGCAGCGATGAAGGCAGACGGCGATTCTGCATCGCTGACGTCGATCTCGTATAGGCTGCTGATTCCGCTGCGCATCATTTGTACACGCCGGTGCAAGTCCTCCATCCGCTCGGCATCGGAAGTATCCAGGCCGGCGGCAGCGGCCATGCGGAGGAACGCATCGAGGGGAAATTCGGCAGCTGATTCGGTGGACATAGTTGGCTCTGGATGCGCCGGGTGGGTGGGTTCATCAGACGGCCGGCGAGCGACGGTCATTATGGCGCAAGGCGCGCCGGTTGGCAAATCACAACCGGGTGGTTGAGCGCTGGCGCAGATACAATTCCCGATGCCGGGTATGGGCTATACTTTTTTGTGTTTACGTATCAGCGGCTGAAAGTAGTGAAGGGTTGGTTCTACGATGACGACAGCATATTGCACTTTTTGCGGCGCTGCGGTTTCGCTGGGATCAGGCGCCTGTCCGGGCTGCGGGCAGCGAGTCGGCGGACTGGATCAACTGGACCCGTCCGGCGGGGAGCAATGGGGTCTCTGGTCGGTGGGCGGCGGATTGGCGGCGCTGGTACTAACCACGATTCTGATTACAACGGTGGCATTCTGGCTGCTGCTGCCGGCGTGCGATGCCACGGGTGGACCGCCGGCGGATTGCCGCGACAAACCCTTTGGCATCGAAATGTCATTGCCGGCAGTTACGTTGATTTCCACCATTGTCCTGGGAATCGCCCAGGTTACGCTGGTGTGGATGCTGGCGTTCCGGCGTTTCCGCCCGTCCCCCCGGTTGCTGGGCTTCACGCGACCCCAGCGGTCCCGGTGGCAGACTGGAGGCGCGGTGTTGGTGGCGATCTTCGCAAGCGTCGGATTCGCCCATTTGTACGGGCTGACGACAACTGCACTGGGTTGGGATTTTTTGACGCCGCCGGAACTGGAACCAGATCTGGTGCTGCCCCGCGCCCTGGCGGCGCTGAGTTTCGTCGCGCTGGCAATCTGGACGCCGTTGGTCGAGGAAGCTTTTTTTCGTGGGTTTGTGTTTCGCGGACTAGTAAACCGATGGGGTTCGGTCGCCGGCCTGGTTTTGTCTGCCGCGGTTTTCACCGGGATGCACTTTTCGCTGCCGGTGTTGCTGCCCATATTCGTTACCGGATTGCTCCTGGGGGGCTTATACTGGTACACGCGGTCGCTGTGGCCATCCATCATCATGCACGGATTGCAAAACGGGCTGGCGGTGTTGCTGGCGATTAACCTGGCCTGAGGCGCGGCGTACCGGAAACCTGCTTTGCCACGTGCAATTGCGCTCCCGTGTTGGCACCGGGCCAAAATACAACGAGGTTTTAAATGTCTGTAAACCCTCAGACACGAACTGACCGTATTGCCGACCGTTTCGCTGCCATCAAGGCTGAGGGTCGGCCGGGACTGGTGGTTTTTATGACCGTTGGTCACCCGTACCGCGACGCCGCGCTGGAGATAGCTCCGCAACTGGCCGCTGCCGGCGCGGACGCCATCGAACTGGGGATGCCGTTCAGCGACCCGATGGGCGAGGGCCCGGTCATCCAGGAGTCCAGCTTTGTCGCGTTGCAAAACGGTGTTACCACCCAGGACTGCCTGGACACTGCGGCGGCGGTGCGTCCGGACATAGGCGATACACCGTTGATTTTGATGGGTTACTACAACCCCGTCCTGTCCTACGGGCTGGAACGGTTTGCAAGGGCGTGCGCCGCAGCAACGGTGGACGGGTTGATCATCGTGGATTTGCCGTACACCGAAGCCGAGCCGCTGGTCGGCCACCTGGAGCCATTCGGCATCCACCTGATTCCGTTGCTGGCGCCAACCAGCACCGACGAGAGCATTGCCCAATCCGTGCGCTTTGGCGGGGGGTTCGTTTATTGCATCAGCGTAACTGGTGTTACCGGCACCCGCTCCGAGCTGTCAGACTCGCCCGGGCTTTGGAATGTGGACGGGGTGCGGCAGCAGACCGATCTGCCGGTGGCAGGTGGCTCGGTCTCTCACCCGGGAGCAC